CAGAGCCAAAATTCACCTCCAAACCCCATATTCTTTATGCTGTATTGTTCTGTATCTGAGTTCTTATAGTAGTGTGTATTTCTGCCATTTATCAAACTATTCAGGACAGTTACCACTTACCAATACTATTCAGAACATACATGTGTCTTGCAACATAGTAGGTATTTAGTTAACATGTTAAATGATTCTGTGTAGGAGTAAAGGCAATAAATGATTTGTCATGTTTGAGATGTCTTAACGCACATTGCTTTTTCTTCATCTTCTTGAGATATAGACATTCCCTGAAGGGATATGTTTCCCAGAGAATCTGGTCTCATTATTTCTTGAGATGCCTAGTGATGAATTAGAAGAAAAATAAGCTCTTGATTTTTCTAGGCTTAAATTTGGATTTAATTTATGGTAGTGCAAGCTGGCATAGCCCTTTTTGAGTGAGAGTATCCAAAAATGGCTTAAATTCTCTTGCATTTCAGTAGTTGAAGTTGTTTGGAGGTTAAATCTTTTTGGTACATACTATTCTTCTGGGTATCTTTTGTGTGGTATCAACAACAGTTTTGTTTATTTTAGGACAGAGAGAGTGGATATTGTCAGATCTTGCAGAGAGTGTCGTTGCCTAAGTGTTCGCATTAATTCCTGATCTCAGTTATCAACTTTTCTAGAAAGTAAAACTTTTCTAGTGCCTGAACTAGGTGAAGATTTATTTTTAGCCAGTGTTCCAAAAAAGGATTTATGTAGGCTTAAACAATATGTTCTCCAAGTGTTCGTGACCTGTTTCTTACATTACATTGCTTATGTCATCTTCAATTTATGATCTTAAGTGTATCTTATATTTGGCTCAATCCCTTAAAAAGTAGGTTGTTTGTGTGTAACACTTCTTTTTAAAATAATTTCTCTTTATTGGAAACATTTGATTTGATATTATACCCAACCATGCCATGTACATGGAGTGGCATTTTTATAAATCAAAGATAGCAAGAAAAACTCATGTTGTTTTATAGTGAGAAACATTTAGAGCATTTAGGTAGTCCTCTGAAAAATATTAATAATTGTCAAAATGCAATTTGTGGCAAAATACAGTTGTCAAAATGCATAGCTAAAAACAGTTGAAACATAGTGAAAAACAATTGTGCAGAAATTATTTAATTCTTCTGACCTTGATTTTTTTTTTTTTTTTTTTTTTTTTTGGGAGACAGAGTCTCACTCTGTTGCCCGACCAAGTGCCATATCAGCCTAACTCACAACAACCACAGCAACCTCAAACTCCTGGGCTCAAGCAATCCTCCTGCTTCAGCCTCCCGAGTAGCTGGGACTACAGGCATGCGCCACCATGCCTGGCTAATTTTTTCTGTATATATTTTTAGTTGTCCAGCTA